GTTGGTTGATGTCACTAACTTTGCTTAGCTAGCCAAAAGTCGAGCGGGTAAAGTCTTTTCTCTGCCTACATCCCCCATAATGCAGTGTGGTTCTGGATCAGAGTTCAGTGAAATTTTTGAAAATTCTTTCAGACGTATTTTCAATTAATATTGATCATGTGTATATTGCGACATTTATTGTTACCTGTAGATAAAGGTAAAAATAAAGATACAGCAGATACAGTTTTTCCAATATTTGTCAGAGGTGGAAAATATTTAATGTCATGACTTGCCAATGTTGAGGAGGACCCATAATGCAACATTACAGACAGATGGACTCCCTCTATCAAACCAGAGGCATCTGTCTGTAATGCCTCTGGTTTAATAGAGGTTTCCTCTTTAGTGTTTAAAGAGGCAACACTATGTGTTTTCAGGACACATAATGCCATTTTATAACACATTGAAGTGGCCTTCTGCTGTTATGAAAATGGTATTATATATCAAATACAACTTCAGGAAATTTTACTTCATAATTTAATGCCTTGAAATTAGATCTCTGTCGCTTTAAGAACTCCTGCTCTTTCACAACCTGGCTCCTCTATTAACCCTTTAACAGTGATTTTATCAGCATTTCACTGAGAAGTAGCTTCTATAATGAGCTCAGCTGATGGGTTGTTCCACCAGGTGTTTACTAATTGCTGCTGGCTAGTCTGAAGGAGTCGAGTGGGGGAGTCATGGGGAGGAGTGCTCTGTGAGGCGGAAGTTTGGAAACTGCAGCCCTGAGGAGGAGCTTCGTCCTCGAAGGCGGTGCTAGATCCACCTGAATGTTCTGCACAGCTGAATGGTTGCTACGGGAGATTTAAAGGATTTCTCAAACATACATGGAAAGAATCAAGGCAGCAATATGTATGTTTTTGATGAAGGAATAACATAATGTGATGCAAAGCCCAAAAAAGTCAATTTTCCATAATACTACCTGTTTAAGAGAATGGGGAATACAAAAGGGCAGAACAGGGGTTGACACAACAACAGAGGGAAGGGGAGATGAAACCCAAACACCCCAGAATCGTGACAGGAACTTTTCCACACTTCTTTGCAACCATTGGGCTGTAAAACAGACCACCAGAATCCGGAGTTTTCTCATCACCTTTAGAAGATGGTGGAACGTTGAGCCTCATCTACTAGTTTCTCACTTTGAATTTCAATATTTTAGAGCTCTAATTCCATCATCTTCTTGGGGGGGGGGGAAGGAAGCTATAGCCCAGCGATCCCCAAGGAGTCGTCTGTGTGCATCAGCCTCCCCTTAGACAAGTCAGGCCTCTGGAGTCACGCGAGTCCTTGCCTGCTGAAGTCGAGCCGGCTCAACTTCGCCACCACCAGCTGCATCCGCCACAACCCTCTGTCACTCCCTGTTCCGCGCTCCTTCCACCACCGCCCCGTGTGCTCCCTGCGTCTGCGAGGGCAGCACTTCTGACAGGGTGACTGTGACTCGGCTGCCCTGAGTCGAGCTGAACGCTCCCTGGGGGCCCCTCCCAGTTACTCCGACCGCTGCACATTCAGCAGCACTCGCACGGGGAAATGGGGGCGCCCAATGAAACGACGAGGCAGGATCCACCTCCTCCCCTCTCCGGCACTCCTGGCCACCAAGCATGCCTCTCTGTGCGACACAGGAACATCTTATGCATTATTAAAAGATACTTTTCCTAAAAGGCTTCCGGCACATTATTCTGCAACCACGGTGACATATCTGGAGACTGGAAATGTCCGCACCCTGGCCCGGAAGGATGTGATCACCCAGGTAGCTGCCATCGTTGGAGGAAAAAAAAAAAGACAAGCCACAGGATTTAAAGTGACACGTTTACCCGTGATTACTCAGGTAAACAAATAGCAATAATATTTTAATAGGCTGTAATTGGAACCTTGAATTAATACAGAGTCACAGTTTAACTGTTTATGTGGTTCTTCCTGTACAGTAATGAAAAAAAAAAAACTGTTAGAATTTGATCAATTAAACCAAAAGGTCAGTTTGGAGTTTATCCATCATTTTGAGTTTACATTCTCCAAGTCTAATAGCTAAATGACAAATAAATGATTTTAGTTAAATGAAAAACTAATTTCAAAATGTACTCGGTTAAATTATGTAACTTCAAACAAACTAGCAGAACTTAGCCCAACAAGTCTCTCGTATATGGCATAAAAAAGATAAATAAATAAGAATTAGGTTTAGATGAGGACCTAAAACATAGCTGAAATAGTAATACGCTTTTTATAATATAATATCCTGTTTCTTTGACAACCACAGCAAAGACATGCTAGCAGTAAGCAGCAAGTACGTCAGGTATAAGAAGCCTAGCTTGCTAGCAAGCATGTCATTAGCATTAGCTTTGTACAAAGCAAGCTAACACTGGATTCAAGCTTTAATTCTTGCTCCAACACAGACATCAAACTTAATACTAGGTTGATATTATAATTCATAGCACATCCCATATAAACATACGCTTTAAAATTAACTCTGGCGGTTATCGAAGATACGCTGGACACGACACACGAGCCAAGAGAACAGCTGACTACACCAATCAACTTCAGGTTAATTGTAATCAAAATGTTTAGGTAGGACTTGTTGCTGGCCTAAAACAGCTGATATAGTTGGGAAATAATATAAACAAGCATCACTTATTAAAATTATGTTAATTACTAATAGCACACGCTGTCCGAGATTCGTTTACAAAGTGTAGCATGTTAGCTGCAGTGACGTATTGAACATCCTCCAGATTAGGCAACAGTATAAAAAATGTCCAAAAATCAAAGATAAAACAAATTTAATGCTAAAATAACACAAATATACCAGCTCCTGCTGCTGAGTTAGATATTATGTCATAATATTCAGTCAGTTTTACTTTATTCGTAAAGAAGGTTAATAGTGTTTATAAACCTGAACTTAATTTATTCATTCTTCATTTGAGAAATGTTATTAGCCTTGATAAAAATATGGTTATGCATTATGTACATAGTAAGCAGCGGCATGGTCAGAGGTACCACAAGGGGGCACATCCTGAAATGTCTTAAGGACAAACATTTGAGGACACTCGATTTCCAAATGTATTCCATAATCCATATGAGAATTTGTTTAATAATCAACATCCTTATTGCTGGAGGATGAACTGAGCAAAGATAGCCGTTTCATCTCACCGTCGGAGTACATATGTGATTTATAGATTTTCCTTCAATGAAAAGAAATATCCAAAACTCATTCTTACTGTGTAGTGCATCTGTTGCATCTGCTTCTAACATGAACCAAACTCTTTCTTGTTGCTGTTTTGGCTTAACCCTGAGCTCCAGGAGCAAGATGGTTTTTTTTTTGTTTGTTTTTTTTTGTTCTATTCTTTTCTTTCTGAACAGTAGAAGGCACATCCATAAAAAAAAATAACGGTTATAGATGATCCAGCTCAAGGCTGAAATAAAAGGAATGCATTAACAGCTTCTGCTGTGTTCAATATCTGCCTGAGGTCAGGCAATAAAACCAAGCATATTTGACATAATTCAGTTTAAAAAGAGGCTGCAAACACCATAGGCTATCAAAACAAAACAACAGGCTGCTCTCATGACACAGCGGAGATGAGCTAATAAGCCTGGCAGAAATGTAATTATGCATTACATATGTACTAAATAGTCATATGTGGTTATATCCTCCACAAGGGGGCGCATTCAAGAAGGGCTTTTAGGAATTAAAAATGTATTCCACTCTATGATCTTTTTGTCATCTTAATGATCTGCTCGGAAGGAACCAAAAACCTCTTTATCATGAGAGAACCTAAATGTAATTTTTTAAAAAAAAAAATATATATATATAGTTTTTTTTTTCACTGTGAATCAAAGAATTTGATTTTATAGAACATTTTCAAAAATGAAATTGGATAATGCTTGATTTCCTTCAAAATGATCTTTTTAGAGTGTTTAGAGGATTTGTTTTAATAGACACTGTCAGCCTCCAATTCTGACTCAACCATGAACACCAGAGGCAATTACGTTATTAATAGTGAAGGGAATGGTTTCTTCGACGAGGCTGAGCACACGTATAATGACGCAATGTCACCGTGTAATTACGTCTTACATCGATGTGGTCAAAGAGATCCACAAGGGGGCGCACCGTTAAATTCCCCCGAGAAAATGCTTCACTTCAATATTTAGTCCCATTTGTTAATCTCCACGTTTTTTGTCCCCTTTAACAATTCACTCACTGGTAAAGAAGAAATGAGTTAAAGAAACTTCATTTCACTTTTAACATGGGAGGACTTTTGAGATTTAGCTTGAACTGCTTAATAAATTTAATAGCTAAAATTGAATTATCTCCAAAATTCTGTTTTAAAGTGAAGCCAATGAGATGTAGGTTGACTTTAATGTGAATTTGACACTCTGACCCTTTTTCTACCTTGACTCAGAGTACCACGGAGCAAGCAAGCGTATTCATGTGTATCCATGATAACAGTGGGAGCCATGTCTCTTTAAAAAAAATTATGATTATTATTTCATTCAAGGCCAAAAAAAACTAAACAAAAAAAAAAACGGGCATGCATTAACAGCTTCTGCTGAGGTCAGTATCTGCCTGAGGGCTAATTCATTCAGACTTAACAGCAAAAAAATAAATAAGTAAAATAAAAATATCAGCAGCAAAACTAAGCATCTTTGACTTGATTCATTTTTAAGCAGTGGACGAGGCTGCAGCCGTTCTAATAACTACACACAGGCTTGATACAAAAAACAGTTGTGAATATAGTAAATAGCGACGCGGTCGGCCGCAGCTTCCACAAGGGGGCGCGTCCTAAAACGTCCCAAGGAAACACTCGATTTCCAAATTTACGTCCCCCGTCTCCACGAGCATTTTGTCCCCTTTAACACAAAAGTGCCCGTTGTTGCAGGGAGAAACGCATCCAAAGCCGGAGCATGGTTAACTTCCCCTCAACTCCACCTCCACGGTGTTGTCGTATTTCGACGCAAACTTCGCGAACAAAGGGAGAACTTACATTTCTCGCGTCCCCCCGGGGTTTATGTCCCTTCTGTAGAGCCGCTCAACAAGTTCCGAGCAGCGGGAGTGAGCAGTGAAGGCAGACCGGAGCTCTTCTCTTTAAGGTGCGCTCCTCGGCGGGAATATGATGAGTGCGCACGTCGGGTCTCCGAGGAATCGCTGCGCGCAACATCCCCCAGCTCACACCTCTCTCTTTTTTTTTTTTTTTTTTTTTTTACCAATCTTTTTTTTTTTGCCCCTCTTCCACTTCAAAACAAATGAGCGATCGCCGTCCTGAGGGCTCGGTCAGCAGCGCGCGCCTTGTTGTGGAGACGGAGGGATTTTCTGGACGAGTGCTGCAGGTGCCAAAGTGTCCATCATCCTCTCTCTCCCAAGTGGCGCTCCATCACGGGCGTCAGGGGAAGAAGGAAAAAAAAAAAAAAGAATTAAAAAAATCCAACTACAGAGAGAAAAAACTTTGACTGCCGGTGTGAGATCCTCCTATTTTCGTCCTACGAATAGGTTTCAGCCACTCAGCTGCGGGGGACATGAATCCCACCAGTTAGTCTCGGCTGCTGAGGAGATCCGCATCTTCTCCTGGTCGCGTCTCTCCGTGGCACACCGAGCGCCCAGATAATGCGCTCCCGGGCTCACGCTCAGCGCACTCAGCTTTCTCCCCCCCACCCATCTTCTTTTTTTTCTTCTTCTTCTTCTCGTTCACACACATACGCGCGCACACCTATAGGGTCTTTCTCTCCTCTCCTCCGCTCCCCTCCACCTCCTCCAGCTCGTCTTCAAACTGCAGCCAGCGCCGAGCGGCTCGCATTCAGCACCAGCCGCAGCAGCAGCAGCACCATCCTCTATCGGGACCGCGTTGAAACTCTGAAGGGAGGAGTTGAACCTCTTTTTAGTGGAGTTCACGAGATGCGTTAAATGTCCCACACGCAGGTGCGCGTCCCCGCAGGCTCGAGGGAATAATGAAGCTTTTAGGGGGAAAAAAAGTATGTCTTCTGAAAATTAGAGAAAGTCCGGGGGGGGGATCTGATAGTGAAACATTTGTCTGGGCCGTGTTGATGAGCTAAAACGCTCTGCTACGTTAAAAAAGTGAGCAAATATTTGTTTTTATATGAAAGAAGGAACAGAATGGCGACCAGTCCAGGGTGTACCCCGCCTCTCCCCCTGAACGTTAGCTGGAGATGGGAACCAGCTAGCCTCCCGACCCCCCTAAGGGACAAGGGTGTAAGAAGGATGGATGGATGGATGGATGGATGGATGGATGGATGGATGGATGGATGGATGGATGGATGGATGGATGGATGGATGGATGGATGGATGGATGGATGGAAGAGAAGAATGCACTAAAAGATGTACCTCTGATTTGACCGTGTTTGGCAGGTCAAATACCGATACAGTAAATGCATCTAAGATATTTTCAGTCTATGCATAAAAAACATATGAGAGAACAACCAAGAGAAGGTCGAACTGGCCGAGCCTTCAGATCTGCTGTCATTACATACAGCTGTGTCCAGTGGAAAGTTAAGTGGAAGGACCAAAATGTGGTTGAGAAAGTACAAGCTATAGGGAACATCCACGACATGGCTAAAACATAGCATTTTTTTATGTAATAAAGTTATGTTTAAATTTTCATTAGCTGCAAGCTATGCACCCACGTTTCCTGAAATAAATGCTTGAACATTGCTTAATTTTTTAATGAATCCATAGAAAATATGAGTTTAGTTTTTTGAAATTAAAACAAATTTCAATCGATTTGTCACAGTTGTCTCATTTTGTCCTTTATATTGCCAGCTATCAAGTCCAAGCACCGCCCTTAAATTAAATATTTAGGACCAAAGCAAGAATGTAAGTAAAATCTGTAAGATGTGAAAAACACGTTTTACATGTGGATACATTTCAATGGGTTTCACATGTTCTAATTTCTACATGAGCAACACGTTGGAAAATGTCTCCAACGTGAACAATTTTTCCGTACGAGTGGTCTATGTAACATTACCCCAAATGTTTAACATGTTTTGACTCGATATAATTTATACATGTGAAACAATTTCCCACCTTTCACATCTTACTACATGACATAATTCCTGCCTAAGATATGGGAAAACTTTCTAAATATGGTTCACATGTATGATTTTACCCTCCCCCCATCTAAAAATGTGAAAATATTCCATAGGTGGAATATTTTCACATGTGCTTCCCATGTGTAAACAACTTCCACATGTAAGTTTTCCTTCATGTGTTGCACATGTTATTGTTATGTAATTCCCACATGTGAAACACATGCTAGAAGGGTGTTATTTTATATCATAGGCTCACATGTGAATTCCTATTGATTTCACATGAGAATTTCTGTTTCAGAAAATTCATTCCTTTCCAGAGTGCTATTCGTGGGTTTTATACAATTTGCGCATCCTGTATGTGATTTTAGCATGCGTCATCTCCCATTTAGTCACATTCACGTACGATTATGCTTTAAGCTGTTTCCATTGACCATATAAATGAGAAAATTGGAATCACAAAAGTAAATTTAATTAAGGGAAACACACAAAACCCCCCCCCCCAAAAAAAAAAAACAAACAAACAAACAAACAAACAAACAAAAAACCTGGTCTTTTATTTTTTATTTTTTTTAAATTGTGCTGGGATGAGGTGGATTTTTGGATTTATGTGTGCATTCCAAAGAACTGTAACAGAAACACTTTTTTTCCCCATGTGATCAACAACCAAATGTTACTGCAGGTGGATAAGACCACAAACTTGTTAACAAACTTATTCACATGTGATTTCTATCACATTTCTAAATACAGATAATTGCGAGATTGTATCTTTTTTTAAATTAGTGGAATATCGCCAAAGTTGTGTGCACATTTATAATGGAAACGCAGCTATAAACAGCTTTGCACGTGTGAAATCTGAAGGAGTGTGTGCAAAAAAAAAAAAAAAAAAAGTAGATCAAAATTCTAAAGATTAGTGGGCACCGCTTAGGAACTTTCTGGGACCGCCCCTGCAGATTGACGCGCCATGTCTTCAGCTCATCTTAATTAGACTTCTTCTCTCCTTCTCCTAGAGCCGCTTCCTGCAGCTCTCCACTCCACGCAATCGCACTTTAACTGATTATCACAAAGAGTGTAGACAGGAGATCGGGGTAGCAGTGCCAGCAGAACTCGGGTCGTGACACTTGGCGCGCGGGTTTACAGTTTGACAACCCCACTACACGGCTCGGCGTGTCGGAGGTCTCCAGTCAGATGCTCAGGCTCCGTTTAATGCGGGTCAAAAGGCTCGCAGAACTCTCACCTCATTGGAACGAGAGGCATTAGAGAAAACCAGAGGAGTGTGTATTCAGTGGAAAGCTCCGCGGCGCACCGACTCTACGTCCTATTAAAAACAATCTCCAAAAATTCATGAGCTATGAATGAACAAACAAGCAAATAAATAAATAAATAAATAAATAAACGTCGCTCAAATGATGAACCGCGCTTGTCTTTCAACTCAAGAAGACCGCATCTGATTTCTGACTTAAGCATCCAAGGTGATGATTGTGGTGAGAAAGCGCTGGAAAGATGCGAGCATTAAAAAAGAAAAAATAAACACACACACACAAGTAGATAAAGAGATGAGGCGAACAGAAAGATCCTGCTCTTAAATCTTACTTCATCTAATCACGACGCGCAATTTTTTTTTTTTTTTTTTTTTGGCCACCTACTCGGCGTGCGTCACAACGGAGCTTCAAAAACTTTGCGCGCCCACAGCTCGGGGATTAATAACATAATAACAGTAATAATAAATTGGACAGTTTGAGCCTCTCACCTGAGCTGTTTTTTTCCTCCTCTTTCTCTCTTTATCTCAGCGCTTCCCTCCGTCTGGATCAGCCCCGCCGCGTGGCCGGCTGCAGCCCAGGAAATCCGCTTTAAAACGGGACATGTTTTGTCGAAACGGGGCGACTTGTGTCCGTCGCTCCTGGGGAATGTGTAAGAGAGCCCCCGGTGCCTGCAGGCAGAACACACAGGTGGACTGGGGGGAGGAAAAAAAAAAATCCTACTGCGTATTTCTCTCTGTGTGTGTGTGTGTGTGTGTTTTCTAAAAGACGATATCAGAAATACATATATTTAAAAAAAAATGCTGGTTAAAAACAGACATAAAGAGATTCCGAGTGGGCTTCCTTAGCGCCTCAGAGACAGCAGGAGAGTGACCAGACCCGCTGCTCTCAGACACAATGAGGCGCTCAGGCTTTGACAATTGACTTTCCACCTGAAAGTCTAATTCTCCGGCGGAAGCCCGCGCTGTGCGGCTGAGAACCACCAGGAACGCGACCGGGAACTTCCAACTGATCGACAATGAGTTCGGCGGCTCGTTGGCGTTTCACCATGGCCACATTAACGAGCGTCAAGCGGCATTAGAGTCCCAGCGGGGGTTTGTTCAAAAGTCCCTTTTTTTGTTTGTTTGTTTGTTTTTTTGTTTTGGATAAAGGTTAGAACAAAAATACAGATGATGATGAGGAGGATAAAACTCTCCTTTTACTGAGACACTTCAACCTTTGAGGGGTTTTAATGAATTAATGTTTGACTTCCAGCTTTTCCCAAGATCGACACCATCATCACTGAACCAGATTATGCAATGCCTTGCAAAACATTCATCTCAAACATCAATGGATTGGTTAAGCAATGTCATTGGCCAAAAAAAAAAAAAAAACAGCACATAAGTCTAAAGAGGATTTATTCAACATGCATTATGAATAAAATTCCACCCTTAGTCTGATACCCCTAAATAAACTGCAGTTTCCATGAGAAGACAGTTAGTAAGTAGACTTTAATTTATTATTTTAGCATTCCAGCCTGTTCAGCGAAGGCCTCAGAGAGTTTATAGAAACCATTAGTGAACAATGTCTTCCTGGGACACACCAGACACATTTAGATGAAGTTGAGACGTTTGAAGCACCGTTTGGCTAATAAACAGCATCCTGCTCTTTGAACTTCTCTGCTCATCATGTGAAAATGGAAGCGACTACAACCGCACACCTCTAAAGTTATGGTTGTCAACTTAAACGAAACGGGCAAGAAGAACATTCATCAGGAAGACATTCGAGAACCCCACCATAACTCCGGAGGAGACAGAGATCCACAGTTTAGGTAAGGCAAGGTCATTTTATATGCACAGCACATTTTCAGCAACAAGGCAGTTTAAAAGTTAGAAGAAAATACAAACAAAACAACAAAACCAAAAGATAAGGAGGTAAAGGTAAAAAAAAAAAAAGTACAAGACTAAATATTAATTCCTCATGTTTAATAATAATAAGAAAAAGTAATCCTTAATTTATAAACTAATAGGGGTTTCTCTGGATCTTATGTTTGTTCTGGATTAGAGACTAAGAGACTAAGTGTTGGTTCTCTTTCAACGGGACAACTATTGGTGGCGTACGTCACAAATCTGGAGTTATGTGGAGTGGCAAGAAGAAAGCCAAATCATAAGAATCTCTGTTTGTGTTTTGCCACAGTCCATGAAGGGAACGCAACAAACATGGAAGATAAGAGTGGCTTTGAACTTTTTAGCCCACAACACGTCAACCTGATCGCACCATTCCCACGGTGGAGAAGATGGGAATGGTTGAGTAGGACACATGGCAATGCAGGAGAACACCAAGAACTGAATACATATCATGTTTTTAAGAGTTTTATTCATGAGAAAAACTGAAGACCATGCATCTTTTACTTTCCACTTTACAATGGGGCACTACTTTCTGTTGCTGCGTCACATAAAGATAAGAAAATGTGAAGGTTCTGTAGCTTGTTTGCAGGCTACAGTAGTCAGTGTTCAGAAATTAAGACACTCTAATTCAATAAAGCTGCTGCATTATTGGGTACTTAATGAAACGCATGACTTTTGAACTGCGGCTTGAAGAAAATATATTTTAGTCAATAAGCAAAGTTTGAAAATAATCTTAAAAGGAGAAATGTTTTTAAATGTTATGTCTGATTCTCGTGTGGTGAGA